ATACATCGAGATTGTTCAATAGAGTGATCTTGCAGTTCTAACGTTTGGGACTCTTGAAAGAAAGAAAAAAATCAGTTCACATTTTTTCAGAAGAACTGTTATTGTATCATAAGTTTAGCTGACAAAATTGTGTGTCGTAATTTTATTCAAATTACTGTAAACTGAAGTTGATCTAATATTTTTTTCGAAGCGGCACTCCCACGTTGTGATAAAGTCACGAGCGCGCTTTCACGATGTATTTACTCGGCCGTAAAGATACATCCGTTTTTTTCTCCATCGTGCGACTCGGACGGAGACCTGAGCGCATAAAGTCAAGTCTATGAGCAGCTGATAGACAACTCGATCCGGCACGACGTGAAAGAAAATGATCCCGAGCGAAGGGTCAAAGGGGTTTAGTCGTGGCCGCGGCTCTACTCACGGAAATCCTCTTCTCAAAAAGTGTTAATAAAATTGCTCCAAGTAATACCAGATGTTGCGGCAACATCACGCGGCTATCCCGCTTGTGTAAATTTAAATAATAATAATAAGACAACGAAGGAGGCGTAGTGTTGAACTTAAATTATAATATAGAAGATACAGATTTGGTATAGGCGATGGTGGAAGCCGATGGGATTATACCTTTAATCTCATGCCACCGGCATGCCATCGGCTTCCACCATCGCCTATACCAAATCTGTATCTTCTATACATAAATACTCATTATCGATTAATATCGGCAATAATAACGGCGAAGTTACTCCTTCGCGATGCAAAACAAAACAAGAAACACAATCTAATATATGTATAAGAAGCAACATACATGAACATTTAAACGAAACATATAGGAAAAAGTCAACGCATTAGTACATACCAGATGGAAATACAAAAATTGATTATTCCAGCATGTACTGTCGCATGTAACACGAACATATAGTTATATTAGAAAAGTCACCGTGCAAATAAAAATATTTTTTTAAATTCGTTGTACTTTTTTAATAAAAAAAATTTAATAAACGTAAACAGCGTAATATAATAAATGAACTTCTTTAATAAAAAAAAAACAACCCATATATATATTTGTGTTGTTCATGTTCTCATCTATTTTCGGTATGTAGATGATATTATCATTGCTTTGCCGAACGATCAAATTGTTTCCACACTTGATACTTTTAACTCATACCATGAAAGAATCAAATTCACTGTCGAGCTTAGTGATGAAGAAGGAATAAGCTTTCTTGATGTACAATTAATGATAGAGAATGGGAAATTGATTTTTGATAACTATAAGAAGCCCACAAATTCTGGGCGATATTTGAATTTTTATTCTAATCATCCCCTTATACATAAAAAAGGTGTAGTAATTGGTCAGCTCGATAGAATCTTGTTTTTTTCTCATTCACGATTCCATGAAAAAAATTTAACATAATTAATACATTCTTGGAAAATGGATATCCATTACAGTTTTTGTTTGCAACAATTAATAATAGAATTAAAACTTTAGCCTACAATAATAATTTTTTAAGAGTATTAACGAAAGGAAAATGAACAAAAATCTGGATTTAATTAACAATAATAAAAAAATACTTTACTATTCCACATTTTAATAAAATATCGGAAAAATTCACAATTACTAAAAAATTTAACTTTAACATTGCTCATAAACCTTTAAATTTAAATAGTCTACGTTTATTTATAAAAACAGGTAAAGACACAATAAAAAAAGAAGACCGTTCGAATGTGGTATATATGGTATTAGGCATTGAACTTAATTCCTGCCGCTCGCTTAATTTAAAATAATGTTCCACACCTTTAAAAAATCTAAAAAAAAATTTTTTTAATGTAATATGCTAAAAAGTTTGACACACTTTTAAAAAATTTTTTTTAGATTTTTTAAAGGTGTGGAACATTGTTTTTTAAATTAAGCGAGCGGCAGGAATTAAGTTCAACACCTAATAAAATAAGTAGTCGTGATTGTGATTGCACATATGTTGGGCAAACCAAACGGAAACTCAATACTAGACTAAAGGAACATAAAAATGACTACGAAAAACCAACGAATAATCTGTCCGTCATATCCGAGCATGTGTTAGATCTCAATCACGAAATTGATTGGAATAACACGAATATAATCGATTCAGAACAATCATATTACAAATGATTGGTCTCGGAGATGGTCCACATAAAGAAACAGAAAAATAGTCTGAATAAACAAAATGACACGGAATGTTTTCTCGATTGTGAATTCTTAATTTGTTATATTGTATCTTTTTATTTAAAAAATTGTTGAAAGAGTTTAGTGATCATGTAATGAAATTTTCTTTCTTTATGTATTCGGATTACGTGCATGTTCCAATTTCAATTGTAATACGAAAATTTATTGTACTGAAGATGGTCACATGGTTGACCGAAACGTTTACTTTGTTTATTTGAAATACATGTTTTAAGCTAAATACATCAAGCGTAGTGGCTGTATGCTCTTTATCGTTTACAATTTTTTAATTTTACATCTTAAAATCTCACTGTAGACGCTCAAGGCAAAAATCTGACTTACAGTAAGTACCGATACTCACAAATAATTACAGTTATAGTAGCTGATTAGAACTACGACTGATCGGATTATGCCACTCCAATGTATCTTACAAATTTAAGATCTTCGTTCTCTGCCTCGGTTGTTTATTGTCATTTTTATAAAACAGTCCTTAACTTTCGCTGCTGTCTCGCGCGAGCAAGTGAGTTGCGCTTATCGACGTAATCTCGTCCCACGCCAGTCCAAGCATTTGTAATTCATGGCAGCTCATTGAAAAAAATCAGACATTATGTTAATACGAGCGGGGTATTATTCACGGCCGTATGTCACTGACCACCTACCCGTTCCCGACGTACCTGAATAATACGTTAACGCGCTGTATTTGTCTCTTCTAGCACGCGTTTTCCTCCGTCTTTCCTTCTCCTTCCGTGTGAACTGAGACCAGATTTTTCTTTCTTTCTTTCTTTCTTTCCTTCTACATTTCTCGCCGTCTATTTTGTTCATCGGTCGATATGTCGAAGAATCGTCGCTAGATTCGCATACGTTTCTACGCACAAACATTATCACGAACGTACTCGCGGTATTACAAGCCGGGACGATATTAAATTATAATTCGCGACACGCTCTGCCGCGTTACCTCATACTTTCCTTCACTATTTATAGGCCGATGCTCGCTCCGCTCGTTCGTTCGTACTTCTTGCCAGCGAGAGCTATGAACCGGCGCCGAGAGAGCACGCTAACACTCTCGCGAGCGCGATTACGGTCGTGAGAAATCGTTGTTGCCAGTGTGGCAGATGCAACGTGTGTGGATACGCCGCACCCGAGAAAATTGAAACGTTCCTATGTAGATTATGCGCGAGGCCGCGTCTACTATTTCTACGCGTTGAGTAATACCTGCCGAACGGTCTTTCTTGCTACATCATGTCGCGTTTTAACTGTAAAATATTGAATATTGCATTGTACAATGCAACATTCAATATTTTACAATTTACAAGAAAAAGCAGATATTACAACAATTAAAAAATTAAAATAAATCGCAAACGTTACATTTACTTAATCGTCAAAATCTATAATGGCAAAAATGTTCAATTCATGTATTAATTAAATTCATAAATTTATCTTTTTATTTTCCTAGTATTTTCTTGAGGAAAAATCATTATTCAATCTGTAATATTTTTTTTTAATTGTACGTCAATGTTTATTATAAATCGTTACTCGAACTCGCGTGATTTACGTCGTTCTCTATCTCTCAGAGTAAACTTCATTGTTAAATGCCACCCACAACCATCTGTTACTTTCTTTTGCGGGTTTAGGTTAAATCACCACTGTGTCTACTATAACTTGATTATATACGTACATATGTAGTTAGTTGTAAATAAATACACGGATAAACGGGCGTGTATATCCTTCGCCTTCTCGAATCATGAGGAAATGTCGATGTCATATACATATATGTTACAAAAAAATATATGATTGTTCAATTTATCTTCTGATCACTAGATACAAATAGAATATGGGTCTCTTTCACCAACCTCAGTTAAGCTAACCGATGATTACATGAAGCTTGTTCAGCGTACTCATCTAACCTTCGGTTAGCTTAACCGAGATTGGTGAAAGACACCCTATACCGTGAATAAATTCGTTAAATGAATATCATAAATATTTTTAGAGTTGGAAAAAACATTTGAATTGCAGTTGTTTGCGAAGAAATTTCTTTTTAGTCAATCCATTAGTTGTAAGTTGTAACATACTGCACATGCTCTTATGCAACACACTTAATCGTTTTAATCCCAGATTGAGTTTCCGATACAATTCCGCGAGTACAATCGATCATCATGATCGATACGCTGAGTCAAAGGCCGGAATGCGACGGATAGTTAATTCCGTGCAGCGTCTTCGTGTATGATTTGTTATTCATTAATCGCATTTTTCGTCCCGTATTGTATTTTAATCTTTTAATCACTCATTTTAAAAATGTATCAAAACAGGATTTTATTATTATCTAATATATACCCTCACAAATTGATATATATTTAAGAAATTTACGATTAATAGAAGTAATTATACTTCTCTGATTTTTATTAAAAATAAAATTTAAGAGAACTTAAAAGATTTTTTATCTTTTCCAGAATTATACAGAAAAAAAGACTGTTCTTAAATCAACCATAATATGCTCGTATATAAACAAAAATATTGCTTATATACGAGTAATTTTGTTTCAAAGATTTTAATCTTGATTTGATTGAATTTATGTTGATGTAAGTATTACTTTGCAATTTGAGACTTCCTCCATCAAAAATCTTACATCAATACAAACTTGATCAAATCAAGACTAAAATCTTTGAAGTAAGAATATTGTAAGCAAAAATACGTTAAATTTTTTTTGTTTAAGAACCGAATGCCTGTCTACTCAATCTCGTTTCTTACTAAACTCGTTTACGTAAATAAGAAAATATAAGCAAATCCACAGCATACTGTCTGAGATTGTACTCACCAGGATAACCTTCCGGGATGACTATTTCCGGTCCCACTTTGACGTCGTGACGGTAACGATGCATCAGCAGTGTAGCCGTGACTCTAAGCGATCTCTGTTGTTGCTTATACAGCAGTATCGGCCTTCCACCAGCACCTTCGACCCTGACCACTCTTGGCAGTGAGAATCTGTCTAGGAACTCGCGCAGTGGCATGAAACCACCGCCGGAACCCGCGGCCTCGGCAGTTGCCTCTCTCGAACTCGGCAATGAGTCCTCGCCAGTTCCGGTGGCCTCGCCGCTCGACAACGTCGAAAATTCACCAGTCGACGACATCGCGATACAGTATCTTTCACAGTAGTTTGCACCAAACTCGCTTTTTCGTTTCTTTTACATTTCACCAGTCCGCACGATGGAATGCATGCGCTTCACGTTGTCGAACAATTTTGCTTGGTTTTTATATATCAGAAATCAGGTGTATCACTCTTTGTCCGCATACTTGAAAACAGGACACTGTCTAACATAAAAATAACTCGTTGTAAAATCCTAAATTAAAAAAAAATAATCGTATTATGGTAATCGTTTAAAAAAAAGATTTTTAATCTTATTCAAAACAATTCTTATAACCGTTAACAACTTTAAAGCATTTTATATAATGCGATGAAAAGAATTTCAAGAAATTAATGTAACGGAAGTACGTATAGCAATTCTCGCAATAAGTACATAGCTCGTTTTCTATTCTCTAACAATGTCGGAACGAAATGCTTTCTTTCCCTTTTCCCCCTTTCGTCATTTCAACCATCCTCAATGGAATTCGTCATTTCGCAAGGCATGACAGTCTTGACAGTGATGCGTTAGCGGCGAACCGCGCAAACAGATGAGTGATTACGCTTCGGGCGCCTTGACGATGATGATGATGAATTTATGACGATGATTATCTCCCGTGACATACCAGTGTGTCGCCACCGGTGTTTGTCTTTCAGATGAGCGGCTCTATGTTGCGGAGAAACGTGGGCGGAATGGTAAAACGGGACGCTCTGCTATTTGCGAAACGTCGCCTCCTGTCTTTGAAGTCGTAACAGCAGAAATGCGGCAATGCCGACAGAAAAGAAGATAACATGTATTAAAGTGAATGAATGACTTATAAATATCATTGTACAAAGTGTTTAACCTTTAGAGGTGACGGTTTATTTTTTTTAATCTGACTGCTTTTTCTAATGCCCAATTTCTTCACTTCCAGATAAGTTGGAGATAACCTTATCCAGGAGATATCTCCATTGTATTTTGGGAGATATCTCATGGATAGTTATCTAGAGGTGAAGAAATTGGGCATAAGAGCAATATTCCGTTTTTATTTTAAGACCATTTCAAGTAATGTTTCAAAATGTAATACAACCTCTAATTAATTTATGATGTCTTAAAACTGTATACTTGAAACAGTCTCAAATATAAAACTCAACTAGGGTGTATCGACCTCTGCTCGCGATTGATCTGAAATTTTACATATAAGTTGTTCTTTATGTAAGAAATAAAAAAAACATAGTCTCAACTTCGGGAAATGAAAAAAATGTTTATATGACAATATTTATTGACTAAAATTCGGACTGATTAAAGAAAGAGTGACCGCAAAAAGGTGGTTTTTTTCGCCCGTTTTTTGGGCCCTCAATTTTTGGACTGATCTCTGTGTCAAATAATACCCTACAATGAGATATTAATTACAAAAAAGTTTTTCAGGTTGAGATGACAATCGTTATCATAGCTGAAGGGGAGAGGAGGGAAGGGAGGGGGGTTCACGTATTACGTCTATGCGAAAATCTGTTTTCTTTTACATTCCCAGCTCTGATAATAATTTCATCTCATCTTCAAACTTCTCTGTGATTAATGTTTCAATATAAGATAAAATTTGGCACTTTTCATTTCCAAAATTGAGGACCCAAAAAACGGGCAATTTTTGCGGTCACTCTTTTTACATGAAGCGAGTTCCATTACACCTTCCCCCCAGTCAAGGGACACATGACTTTCCACGCGAAGCAAAATCTACTGAGTGAAAGTCGTAAAATAAAAAAACTGTTTTTTTTTCATTTCTCGAAGTTGAGACTTGTTTTTTATTCCTCACATTAAGTAGAATTTATGTGCAAAATTTGAAGTTATAATCGCGAGCAGGGGTCATTCGGAAATGTATCCCTCGACTATAAATACCGGCTTAAGTAAGATTTTTGTAAGTATATAAGAATTTGTTATAATTTATTATTTTATCCTTGCATAATCCTTGCTTTAAAATATAATACTGTTTCATCGTCACTATATCATGAGTTTTTCGGCCTGTAAAGACGTCTGTTCTTTTTAACTCAACTTCTTGTGTACAGTTCATCCTTTCTCTTCTTCTCTCCAACATGAAAAGAAAAAGAGGAAAATAAACCTTGCAAGAAGTACAACTAAAAAGAACAAGCCTAAGGTTAAAAAAGCATTCAGTATTATGTGATAGGTAGTGCACATACTGAGTAAAAAAAAATGTTAATAAACATAAATAGAAATCTCTATCGTTTCTGGAATATAAACAGTTTTGTATGATAATATCTCATGACTAACTTATTACATGACTTCTATATTGTCACATACGATATGAAAAGAGAATAATCTTTAGTATGATACTTTGTAATGGTGTATAATCATCAAATAGATCCGCAATCGCTGATTGTAATAACAACTGGCCAATTATCGATAAAATCTTTTATTACCAAGTATGGAATGTATTGAATGAGGCTCAAAACATGATTTGTAAACACACGCTAGTAATAAAGTTACGTCCCATGCGATACGTAAAAGCCAATATAAAGCCTGGTTTTTATTCTTTGATTAACTTGTGACTAGACTTTACTTAATAATAATATAAAAATTATTTTTTCAGCAATGATTAATCATTAAATGATGGTTATTGTGACTTTAAAAATTATTCATTACAAAACTATCAGTTTATTATGATTAACCATAGCTGGAAAAGTATAATTTTTACATTATCATCAAGTTAAAACTAATAACCACTTAAGTTAGTCAGAAAATGAAGAACCGCGAACCTAAATCAGATATGATACTAACATACAAAATTGTTTGTATCTTAGAAATGATTGAGTTTTCGACCTATATTTACTAAGATTTTCTTACTAAGTATGGTATGTATTAAATAAATGCAGAATGCTTTTTATTAATGCTTGTATACCACAACTGTTACTCAATATTATTTTTCTAATCTTTTTAATTGATACCTTGATATACTGCTAAACGAAAATGTCAGTTTTACTTTTGTTTCGATCTTTCATTTCATTCATTAACACTGCCTAAAAGCTATTACTCATATGCTCAATCATTATACTTTCTCTAAGCTCTACGAAGATTTTTGCCTCTAATCCTATTCACTCTCCGATTCTGTATCCCCGGGATTTTCACGTAATTAGGAACGATGATTTGTATCTGTTAACAGCTCCGAGAGCGACGTGAAATATAATTTATTCATGTTCGCTGTCATACACATAGTCCATAATGTACTTTCTTGAGTGACTTGCACCTGCGACATTCCACGGCTACGCGCATTCGCGGCGATATTGCGTACATTGCATACAAATGATGAGAATTAATATTCTACATATGTAAGGTATGATGCGGGAGGAGACTACTACAGGTATTATCCGCGATTCCGGTCATGAATACACATGAGAATGGGGGAATTCTTTCTCTCCTAACCCGCGACTTCTTCCTCGTTATTTAGATAGAATGTCCTCCCCAGTGAAACTTCTGTAATCGCCATGTAATGGGGTTTTAATTACCTGCGACTAAAACGACCATGACGAAGGCATCGTGAATTATTACGACGGCCGGTTATGACGCGTACGCATCTTCAAACGTTTTTCTGTATTTCTTGCGTCATTTGTTTGTCTTATAGATCCCCCGCATTTTAGTATGCACCGAGGTATGCACCTTGTACGCGAACGAATACTTGCTATTCCGTTTGTGTGCAAGATCTTTTTCAGAAATTACGTTTTTTATTTTCTGCTACACACGTACGTATATAACGGACAATTACGTTTCAACCGAAATTTTCAAAGAGACTACAAACTGTGACAAGAATAGCTCTTTTGTCAAGACTTTTTGATTTCACTCTCTATAGACTCTTGACTCCTATTGTCTGCAATTCAAAGATGACGTTCGTCATGTATGATAGACGTTAAGTGTTAAAGCGTCCGTTTTGTCAAACATGATGTAAGTAGACGTAAACCTGACAAGAAACGAATTGCGAGAATTCGCGATATCAAGTAATTAAGCTATATTCACGGAGAGTTAAGCTAAAAAGCCTCGCCGCATTTCTGTGCATAATAGATCGTACGAAGTGAAAGTACAGATTTAGCAATTCCGCCCATTAGTGGCTATTCTAAGCTGCAAATGTTTTATGTTTCTACGCGCGGTGTGTGTATTGCGAACATCCCTGACGTAATTTTCCTAACAGAAGACCTATCGTGCCGCCAAGCACGTAACCCTGCCAGCGATTTTAATCAAGCTTATGAAAGTTTCTGCGTTGCGCGCAACTTTCTAATGATATGATGATTAATTAAATACCAGAAACAAAGCAGATTTTAATTTGTGTATAAGTTAATAAGAACACCTTCCGTGAGTGGATCTAATTTGTTTTAACAGTGAAAGTAAATCGTTCGAGAGTCTAATATCGAAGATTATTAATCGCTACTAATTAACATTTTACACGTTTACAAGATATAACAAAATAAATTAGCAATTAATACAATGTTATAATTTGGGTTCCAAATTTCGCGCTATATAACTAAATATAATAAAACGCATAACATTTATAACTATATATAAATATTTTTATCTATTATCTTTTTGTTATTTTCTCATAAAAATTATTATTCTCATAAAAAAAGTTACGAACAGACCTAGACAGGAAAGCTATTAACTCGAAAACGATGACAAATACGGCAAGATGCCATCAGACTATTTGGATTCTTCTCGATAAGATACGAGAAAATTCCTAAGCGTTGAAGCCGTATCTATCACTGTTCTCAAGAAAACGATTGCAACATCTAGGCCGATATTCATAGTCGATTCTTATTTAAAGACCATCTTAAGTAATATCTTAAGACGCTAATGCAGCCCTCTGGTTCGTAAATTCTTAAGACGGTCTTGAATATAAGATCTGAATACTCTATATAGAGTGTCTAGACCTGTGCGTAACTCTTTTGTCAATGAATGATCGGTGTTCATAGTTCGTTTTTATTTTAAAATCATCTTAAGTAATGTCCTAAGATGCTAATACCGTTCTGTGATTAGTATTCATAATCAATTCTTATATTTAAGACTATCTTAAGTACCAATCTTAAGATGTTATGAATCAATAGAGGACCGCATTAGCATCTTAAGACATTACTTAAGACGGTCTTGATATAAGAACAGATTATGAATACTATCCATTGATTGGTTTATACATCTTTTAAGATTCAATTATAATTATCGACTATGTTTTTTATGGCCGTTTTGCTTTCAAAAGATATAGCGTTTTTCACTGGAAAAACTAGTGCAACATTGGTGCACACTGAGTGTAATTGAATCCAAATCACGTATTTTCAGTGTTAATAAATAATTTAAGCCTCTTTTAATTGTATATTCTTTGTTATCACAATAACTTCTTAAAGGGATCTAATTACTTATTAACACTAAAAATATGTAAATCATTATTTGCACTAGTTTTCTTCATGGAAAAAACGCTAATAATTAACACAAGTGTCTGTCTAGTATTTTTAACTGCTTTTCTTTTAGGCTAATGTTACATTGTCCATTTTTATTGTACAACAAACTTTAAACGTGTTGATTGGCTGCAAAACAGGAGAAATCCGAGAACCTCTCTGTCCTACAGCCAATCAACAGGCTTGAAAAGCTTTGTCGTTATACGGCACATGAATCGGTCTCAGGGTGGATTCATACCTAAACAGAAAAATGTCTATTAAGCTAGAATGCCAACACGAGTATAATCACATGAGACATACGGACGATTTAATGCTCTTTTTGTGCTAATTTATTGCTTTAATCCCGATTTTATTGTTCTAACCATTTAACAAAAAATAATTTTTTGCTGACTTTTAATCAAGATAAAATGCACATTAAAAAAGGAATAACAAAAACAAAAATACTAATACTATAATTTAGTGCTAATTATGTGCTCATAATGTAAATTAGTTTAAATTTCGGAGCGATATCCTTTACGCAAAAAAAACCACCTCATTTACAGAAAACAATCTCTACTGTATGATACATGTTCCTTTTGCTATAAAAATCAATCAGCAAAATTTCATAAAACTTTCTGTGAAATATCGTGCATTGTCCTACAAAATATATTGCATGCAGACGATTTTTGTGCTCCATCTCTTATGCGCGAAAACCACCTCAAAGCGGCCGAACTTAGATGCACCGCATATCATAGATGTATAGCTTGGATCTGAATATAAGTTCCACATCGAGAGAAAATCATATCTTATCAATTGTTCATACTGTCTATTTTTTACTACTGTTTGCAGTGATAGTGAAACAATAAAATAGTCAATATATATTTTGCAAGCAATAAAATCAGTAACGGAATTACAATGAAAAAAATTCCGAAATCATTATTTTTGGTATTTCTCTCTTGTACGTATGCGCGCTTTGAGTGGTTTTCGTGCATAACCCCGGATCTACAATAGATTTTTAAGCCATAAGCCATCGAACTAAGGGATCGAACACAAAAATTGTCCGCATGCAGTACATTTTGTAGGACAGTGCACGATATTTTACAGAAAGTTTCATGAAATTCTGCTGATTAGTTTTACAACAAAAGGACGATGTAAGGATTGTTTTCCGCAAATGAGATGCGTAACGACAGCATAACAATACCGAATTGTCAAGAATTACAGACTCGGGGTACAGATATCTGTATCAATTGCTCTAAAAAGAAAACAGTCTTTATCTATTCTTCGTTGTTTATTACTCTATGTCCCAATCAGCACACAATATTTAAAAAACATTTTTTAAACATTTATTTAATATTTTTACATTAAATAAATATATTTAAAAAAATATTTTTTAAATATTTTTTTAATATTGCCTACTGATTGGGGTCTAATAATATGAAGAGAAAAACAAATGACTATTACGTGAGGTCTGCCTTTGTTTCTACACTGGACTGCACTAAAACTTTCTCTCTTTCGCCAAACTTCAAATACGTATCTATTTCACTTTAAGTACAAGCGTACACTAGTTGAGTCACAAAGAAAACAGACCTATGGATGAATTGCACTTCGTCGTGATACGTCCCATTCTAACCTCTCTGCATGCGTTATTTTCACAATTTTTGAAACACAATCGCTCTCTACTCGGATCAGGTTCGATCCTATATATTCACTGTGATTATTCTTCTCACTCACCTCGTCGATCATCAAAATTTAACGAAACTCCGTATCCATCCAAAGCGTTAATTCGTCAATATGAAGCATTCGTCTCACACGCGTGTGCAAGCATGTGAACCTGATGCACGTGTCGAGATCGCCCAACTTATTGTTAGAAGAATCCGTAACTTCATAAAGATATTACGAGAATGCTCCGAATATCGTCCAAACGATGTTGAAGCAAATATTCAGAATCACCAATTGAATTCTTTCATAATCCGAACGTGATCAAACTCGCTCGAACGCACGATTAAACAAACGCATAAACGATCAGCTGGAATTTTCGGTATCAACGGAGATCTCCGATGAACCGCTCGGCTTTTCTCGTAGGATCGTACGCAAGTCGCAAACGGCACTATCGACCCATCGAACGACCGGTCGATCGAAGCGTAGTTACGTGAGGAGCTCAACATGGAACGGCCCAGCACTTCAGACGAGATCGCGCGACTAAAGTTAGCAAACCGCAGAGACGCAGCGGTGCGCTAACGTCGAGTCGAGCCGTGTCTCCCCACTTCGTCAATCCCCAGTTCAAATAAACTGTATCGCGCAGACTCGCGTGCTCAGGAATCTCTCTCTCTTTCTCCGGGTCGCCAAGTCTTTTCCACCTTTTCCTGCCGCGATACCGCGCGCGCGACTCCTTTCCTCGATCAGCTAGAAACTTCCGTTTCCGGCCGTGTAATTTCTCGAGTACCCAGAGTTGAGCATGTATTAAACGTAAGTAACGTATCACACACGGTTTTTACATGTATAATGGCTGCGTTCGGGAACGTCGCTCAGATGCCTCCGATGCCTCGGATTTATCATTTGTCCTTGTTTAACATTAGATGAAACAAGAACAGACGATAAATCCGAGGCATCGGAGGCATCCGAGCGACGTTTCCGAACGTAGCCAATGCCATATATTATACGTACGTTTTATACGTATTATATGTATTATATGTATATACTCGTGTGTATTATACACATGTAGGAAATGTAAGAAACTACTCGCAGCTCTAAATTATTCAACTCTTCGGGGGCCTCTTCGACCAACTCCGATTAACTTTAATCGACGATTAGTCCATTGATGCTCGTTTCCACCAATATAGATTAATTTTAATCTCAGTTCAACTTACTCTTCGTCTTTTTCTAGTTCTAAAGGTTAGAAAAAGACAAAGAGTAAGTTGAACCGAGATTAAAGTTAATCTACATTGGTGGAAATGGGCATGAATCATATTTGTCAACGACAGATGCGATTGGCCCGCCAATTCCAATGGACTAACCGTCGATTAAAGTTAATCGGAGATGATCAAAGGCCCGTTTCTACCAATATAAATTAACTTTAATCTCAGTTCAACTTACTCTTCATCTTTTCCTTATTCTTAAAACTAGAAAAAGGTGAAGAGTTAGTTGAATCGATCGATTAAAATTAAACTGCATTGGTAGAAACAGGCGAAAGTGGCCCCGATATTTCGCATGTGAGAAAATTCACATGTTGAGAGCGTTCGCAGAAATCTCGATGATTTGTGCACTTGCAATTTTAATGCTAAATAAAATAATTCACACAAAAAGAACGGTTTTGCTGAAATATCTAAAAATTTAGGCAGACAAATCTGAAAATAAATTGTGTTGGACTGTCAAATAATTATGTAAGACTCAAACTGAATTGTTAGAATATCAAAATTGTTTATAGCATTACTTATCATGATTGAATTTCCTACATAATTATTTTTGATGGTTCAACAAAATTATTTTCAGATCTGTATATCTATCTAAATTTTTAAATACTTTAGTAAAATCGTTTTTTTTTTATTCGCACGTAATTAAAAGTATTGTTTAAATAGTTGCAATCGCTTTTAATAAAATGAAAAATTCTTTTAAAAATAAAGATACTAAATTTTTACATTATAATAAATTTTGTACATTGTCTTCGAAAGTAATACAAAGTTTAGAGGCCATTTAGAACCTGAATAAAAAATTATTTCAATAAAAAGTAGATAAATTTTTAAAAAATAATTAAGATACAATAAAATGGAAAAATTTTCATTCACAATATAAAATTGTATTGTATAAATATTGATCTTATTAAACTGTTTCACATGTACATAACATTCATTTTTATATGGAAAATATAAATTCAATTCCAGTCACTCTCTGCAGAAACTATACACCTGACACATCTTCAATTTTTTTTAAATTGTTAGTAAAATAATCTTAAAGTTCTAATCCTAGTTGACCTAGATATCTTTAATTTTCCTTACTTATTCGCTCAGTTTTCCCGTTAAACTTTCGGCTTGGGCAAACCAACAGCAAATCCGTCTGATTTTGATTGGAAATCAAATTATGAGCGTGATATTTACTTACATAATCAATGGTTACGTATTATGAATCGTGTGTAACCAATTACTGTGCGTTGGTACCCCATAATTTGAAATTTCACATTGAATTCAAGATATCCGCGACTGGTAACCTTCGTACACCGTCATGAACCCACAAATTGGAATGCCAAGTTCATACACGAAAAGAACGATTTTATTGAAGAGTATCTAAAAATTTAACTAGATAAATCTAAAAATAACTAGATTACACTATCAAAATAATTATGCAGGACGTTCAAGCATAATGAGCACACAATGCTACCGAAAGTCTTCATACTCTTATAACAACTAGTGCGTTATATGCATAATTATTTTCGTTGCCTTTCTTTATAAGTGGTACAACTCAAAAAGTTAAATTTTTCAAAAAAAGAGAAAAACTATTTTTTGAAACTGTTCTTTTCGTGAACAGAAAATTATTCACTTATCAAGTAATATCGACAAAAATAATATACTCTTAGAAACAAATTAAATGTCATTATTACCATTTTCGCGCGAGCGCGTTTCCTTAAAAACGATCAAAAGACTAATCTTTCTGAGTCGTAACGATTCTGTTATCTACAAAATTATAACAAATTCGGAATAATTTATCAAAAGTGACATAACTCGAAATATTATCAACTTTATATTTACCTTAATCGATTAAAATGATTAAATTAAAAATAAATTTTTTTTCAAACTTCAACCAGTTTTAATTATGAATGTTTTCTGCAGAAAAGATTCTCTCTTTTATTTACAAAAATGGCACAATTTCAAATTTATTACTCTCATAAAATTAGAATTTTTCTGAAAATCTTAAGAACGATCACATACATGAGTGTTATTTGGTAGACGGACTGTGAAGTTAATAAATATTAACTTTGTTTAATTTAGACAATTGATGGAGGATCTTTACCTAATTTATTCATGTAATAATTCGAAAGTCCATGTTTTGATGGTATATAAAATTATTTTCAAATCTATCCAACTAATTTTTTAGGTAATTTAGCAAAACCGCATTTTTCCACGTAACTGCGTAAACTTCTCATTGATATCGATATCACGTTACTTATACAAGATGCAATACTACTGCATCCATTGCGAAATCGTCTGACGTTGTCGGACATCCAAGATAGTCGGCAATTACAAGGACGCGCATAACAGTTAATACGAGTTATTATAAGTATCGAAGTAATACTCGCTGATTTAAATGACTTACGCTATGTCCACCATATGTTCACTGAGCAGATGGCGTGCCACTTTTCGCAAATCCACGAGATGGACCGCTACGCGGCGTAACAATGATCGCGCCGTCACGAATCAAAAATATCAATTTTTGCTATCGCGGTTTTTGTAACTGTATCCGAATAAGTATGTCGCGTTCCCTTTGTTCGTTTCAAACTAACGTCTTGTTTACCATCGCCGATGTTCGCAATATTTCGGACATCGGTCTCTTTCACGCAAATTATTATTTTATTGTGCATTTACTCACGATGTAAACGAACCTAAATTGTTAGAGAACTTGGAAGAAGGTATGTCTTATCTTTGATAAGCAAAAAATCTCAATGCTACTTGATTGCATTCCCTTGAAAAGAATTGCGTATCTCGCAATTACGCAAAATTATTTGTCGTATGGAAGAAGTATGCTTGGAAAATTTGATAAAAAAAGAAGTTTATAGCCAGAAGCACAGACTTTGCATTACACATAATGCTTAACAGCTATGGCACACAAAAAAAACTTAAGCAGTAAGACATAATCCGTAAGAAAATAGTATTATGGAGTTGCTGTAGCTTACTTACGTTATTGCCTTACAGTCTCTATTGTAATTGACTGATTCGTTTACTCATGCTTAAGCTTTTTGTGCACCATAGCCTTAAGCCATAGTGTATAACATAACGCGCGCCAATGCACAAACTTGTACATAAAGCTTTGTATTTTATTCTGAAAATTATTTTTAAAAAGCGATTAGTTTCATTAGAAAATTAAAAATTTATTGTCCCCTCTCAGTGACTCTTCTGATGCAACTTTATGCACTTGCCAAACGAGTAGAATGTGAAACTTTATTGTCTACATAACCACTGTCTACATAACGCCAGCCGTAATACATAATGCATAAACATTCATTCTTACAATTTTTCCACACGTTTATGCACTAAGACAACAAGATAACAACAAAAAGTTAGAATGGAAATAAAGGACTCTGATTGGTTCACTCTCTTATGCATTATGCGTTATGCGAAAATTTATGTTTCGACCTTAAGAGGGGGATTTCTTTGTTGAGACCGTTTTTAAGACAGCTTTTAAGATCTTTTTTTCAAAGAAACTGCACGACTAATTGACTTTCCATTAAACAGTAACAAATTTTTTGAACTTACGAATAGTCTGCTATTCCAATTTGCATAAAATATGTCTTCTTCGAAAATTCTTCAGACGTTAATTACTTATCTTTCAATTTACTCAATTTACGTTTTGCACGATCGGTAGACGACTTTTTCTTGCTGCAATGCGAAAATTTCCGTTTTCTGCCGATTTTTATATCCAATAATGACATTATTTTCAAAATGGATGTATATCCTTCACTAAAAATACGAACGGTTGAAAACATTGTAATAGCAAACAAATTTCTCTCAATAACTTTTAGGCTTAGGAGTAAATGATTCTGTGCGAAACACCAAATTATTGCATTTAGATTTTTGTTATTACTTTGATTATTTGCACTTGAACACCTTGTTAGAGGATGTCTTGAGAGATCCTTGTATATTAGCATTATTATTTATGTCGGGCTTATAATTATCATTATCAGTCTCTTTCAATTTTTCG